TCAACCAATCCCAAATTAGGTGTATGGTGGGTACGACGACCGTTGGCCTACAGTGTATCAAGCCTATACTTATTCAGGACATTCAATCACTGTCCCTACAGGTTGACCGTACAAATAGTTACGAAGTGGAGCATAGTACATCACAATATATTCGTACAAGACAACAGGATTGCTCACCTGAGGATCCCACGTTGTCAGGCCCGTTAGACGGTGTGCCTAGCCAAATCTAAGTGGAGGGGCTTCGGGTAGTTCTTCTGGCTCACTATTGATATCTCTTCAATACGCTCAATGGTATGTCAATTTTTCACTTGCCTATGTACGCTACCACAATTTATCATTTTAATAGGACCAATTTCTGTTCACTGACTTTATTTATGGGTTTAGTCAGATTTTGCAGGTCGTGCAGACTTGTGTGCTGGGACCACGCCTGATCCTTGGCGTTCGAGAATACCACGCTAAGCTCGTTGCCAATGCCGACGCAACGACTGGTATGACCTCAATCGCCTTTCAGGAGCGCGTGCATATATCGACTGGCAGTGGTGTGTGAAATCAACTGCTCTGCAAGGAGCTGGATAATTTGTTTTTATTTATTCCCACTTTCATGAAGGTATTGATCGAAGTTATACGGTGTTCCGAAGCAGATTTCAAGGATACAGACAAAGTATTCGTCGTATTATTTAAGCAAGTGATTTGCTATACGTGCTGACAATGTTTAAATCAATATCCTTGATATCTTTATACAAGGACTGGCTTTCGGTCGGCTGCCGGCCCTCATTCTGTGTTCATGGAGTTACGAAGCGTAGGTGCCATTCAATGTATTTACAGTAGCAAGTCAGGAAATACAATATTTGCGCAGTCTTGTTCTTCGTTCGCCTCTGAAAATAAGCACCACGTATCTTACTCTCGATAACGCTCCTTCGTCGTCAATGATAGGACCAATAGTGGTCCGTGCATCCGATAGATAGATCCCGTCTTCCGCAGACGCGGTATTCGCACCAAATGTGAATACGTTGATTCGAACATCCCAGTTCTGGAGTCACGATGAAAGCGTGTATGGTCACACTCTCAAATGCAAGAATCTCCATCATGACGCCGGAATGTCAGGAAGAAGAAGTGTCTTGCCATATCTAGCAAAAAATGAGGCGGGCTTGGTCTTGGTAGTAGAAATAAATCCCTCCAAGACTCTCGCTGAATCGCTACCTCCATATTGCAGTGCGACGCAGTTGTAGATGACAGGCTCCACTCTGTAATCGAATATCACCGTTCGTCTTCGTTTCCTTGTGAATTGACTCACCAGAACTGTACTCGCCGAGCAACTAGGGTCAGACTCAAGGCCGAACGACGGTCACTACTGGCCGAGTTTTCTCGAAAGGAAGAGCGGACATGAAAACAAGGTTCATCACTGGTAGATAACAGAAACGCAGGAAAACACACCTTCTGAACTTTATAGCTGCTGGATAAGTCCTGCTTTCATCTCGGCCCATACGGATAAGTAAACCAAGCCTTAAGAGGGATACCAAGGATGACGAAGATTTCGAGCTCACCGGCAACGAGCGCGACCGGTGTGTTGGGACAGAAGCTCACGACTTCCGAGTCCCTGCAACCTGAAAGTGGAAAGTAGAGCACGGCATGTACGGTACTCAATCTCATAATGCTGTTCGGCCTGATGATCGGACGCGATAATTAGTTGCATAACATCTCGGTTCAAGGACTGATGAGTTCTAAAATCTGCGACTTCGGTGAGACCATGAGGCAGTGGTTTCCGTTACAACGAAGGAACATGTTTTCTGATTATCAGATAAGCAAGAATCAACTAAAAGTACACTCTAAGCGCGTCGTAGTCACATGATTGATCGTGTGATCGTGTTTTTTCACGACCAAGTTCCTCGACGAGCGTCCACTTTCAAAGTTACAGTATACCATGGACCTCGGCGAGAATTTCAACACTCCCACGACTCGTCTCCTAACGCTACTAAATGTGTCTGCTTTAAAAAGCAGAAAAAGAACACGGGATGAGGATTCACCAGCACCCGAGAAATTAAACAAACGGAAGACGGTTAAGCTGGTAGAAGATGTTACCTTGGACCCAGGCCCCTCGATGTTATGCGACAGAACTAACAACGGCACAGATGACGAGGTCTTGAGAGGTAACGAAGAAAATGACGATGTAGATCCACAAGGTACATCACTAGTGTGGTATAAAGAAATGTACTCAAAGGTACTCCGTCAGATATTACTTCGGCATACGAACAGCATTACGGACCAAATACAGAGCTTGTATCAGACACATCAAGAAGCTCTGTGGATCAACGACGCTGGACGTCTTCGAGGGAGAAAGTTGGCAAATTAACAACTGTGTTTAGTTTACGAAACGAAGATAACACCCCTCCATCGAAAAAACTGGCCAAAAAAACAGCAGTATGTTGCACCCTGTAGTATATCATCGTGTTGTTGGACTATTCATGGAATGATTACCAGATATCAGAGCGCTTGAGGGGCCCATTTCAAGCGCGACAATCGAAGCAGTCATCAGGTATGCTCGGCGGTGTACCGCATGTCATGATATTGATATATGTACAATTCAGATCAAAAGCAGATACAAGATAATCTACTCTCGATCTTGTCCGCCCACCTTGATCTATATAATCCTGCGCTTTCTCTGGAGGATCACCGAAGTGTACGAGATGTCGTCGCATTGCACGCGCTGGACCATGTCACAAAGTTTGTTGCTTCCCATCTTTAGACTCAGTTGTGTTGATAGAAAAATACAGAAAGCGAAGACGAGTTCTGAAAAACAATGAACGTCTCGCACATGCGAAAGCAGCTTCAGTCTCTCCTCCAGAGGACGTTCAAGATCAAGGTTTTACTCGACCCTCCGTACTTGTTCTTCTCCCGTTTCGTTCGTCGGCACTCGCTTGGCTCGATGCATTAACCACACACACGCCCTCTCCGGCATATCAAATCGAAAACCACTCTCGCTTTCTATCTGAGTATGCTCTTCCACCCGATGCAGTCGATAAGCTGGCAGTTGCAGAACCTGGGACATACCCTCGAGACCATGTTGAGACGTTCAAGGGCAATGTCGATGATAATTTCAGACTTGGAATTAAACTCACAAGGAAAAGTGTCAAATTATTTGCCGATTTTTATGGTTGTGATATCATTTTTGCAAGTCCGCTCGGGTTGAGGATGTCAATCGAGAAAGAAAAGTGCGTTCATTGTGCGAACCCAATACACGGTCAATTGTAACTTCTCTTCAGAAGCGCAGATTTTTTGTCATCAATCGAGATATTAGTGATAGACCAAATGAATGCACTGACAATGCAAAATTGGGAGCATGTCCAGGTGCGCTCGTGTCATTCTTCATGTTAATCCTCTTTCTGATTATGTGCATGTCAGTATGTCCTTTCAAACATGAACAACCTGCCAAAAGATTCCCATGACGCCGACTTCTCGCGCATCAAGCCATGGTATCTAGACGGCCAGTGGGTTTCTTCTTGACAATCCATTGTGCACGATGACTTAGTCTCCGCGAGTTCGGCATACCTTCGACAGTCCATCCTCTTGTCGCCGTTCGAGATGCCAGAATTGAGAGCGTTGTTCAACACTACGCTCAAAAATGCTGCAGGGAAGGTCAGAGTCGAAAAAATATGGCCTGCTATACAGGTTCCGGAGTCTATCGACCAAGTGAGTGCCTTCTTAATTGCCTAGTGAATTCAGCCTCAACAACGCAAAGATGTTTGTTCCTTTCGACTGTGTGAACCCTAAGGACGAACCCGAAAAGAGATTTGCATATTTCACCACTCAAGTAAGTTCTGCGACTCCAACCTTGACTTCTCTCATCTTACATCATATCAAGCTACTACCAAAAGTACTCAAATCCGCGGTACAGAGTGCCAACACAGTGATCTTCATACCTTCCTCATTCGATTTCATACGGGTGCACAACCACTTCCGGAAGCAGTCTTCCCTGAGCTTCACTGTACTCTCTGAGTGAGCTCCGCATAAAAAACAAATCCCGAGGGCGTCAACTAACTACATGTAGATACTCTACCAACCAGGACATTTCTCGAGCACGAGAAACTTTTTTCTCCGGTAAAAAGGCATTTTTGCTCGTCAGCGAGCGGTTCCATTTTTACCGCAGGTATGTCATTCAAACATATATGTAAAATTATGATTTACACAGGTCTTTTATCTGCAGATACAAGATCAGAGGCATCCGCAATCTCATTTTCTATGGCCCTCCAGAACACCCTCAGTTCTTCTCTGAGTTCCTGTCCTTCCCATTCCTCGATGATGGGGTGGAGGCTTCTGATGTAATATCAAAGGTGATTTATTCCAAGTATGACAAGTTTAGGTTGGAAAGAATTGTTGGGACAAAAGGCGTGAAAGCTCTTGTGGAAGGTCTCCTGTAGTTTCGGAGCGATACCGCCTCACCGCACTACTGCAGGTGTGGGTCTTTAACATTTGAAGATTGCCACTCTCTGAAGTGTAAGAGACACCGAGGTGTTCGTTCTTTTCGTGTCATCCTTACTTACGATTGATATCACTCGTTATTAGCCATTTTCTTTTCTAACGATCGATACTAGTCTAAGTGTTGTAGGCACTTGGTAGAAAACGAACGTTTGAGTCCGCAACTCACATGCAGCTGTTATGGCCAGTCAACCGAGGAACATTCACTTACAAACAAAGCTTCGATCAATTTTCATGCCCGAAGGACCCTACTGATACACCATCTCGTCGTACACTGGTTTCATAATCAAGAGTTACTTTCATCTGTTGAAACGCATGCTCGTATATGGACTATTGCAGGCACATCAGCGGGTTGGATTGTGCTACGGAGTGCTACAGATCTAGCATGCCCCAGACAACGATATATTCCTCCATCTCATATCCGACGTGGGACGGGTTACCTTGCACGGCATTCCCATCAAAGTCCTAATACTCCACCTGCAGATGGACGCAACGTTCGACAGCCGAGATGCATATGGGGTTAGAGGATTGATCTTAAAATGCTAAGCACTCATCCACATGACATATCATACAAAAGAATGGCACCGTGCATGATGCATGATGTTTGTTCCATACATTGAATCTACAACATAGTATACAATATCGCATTTCAGAGGCGCTGCCTCAACTGTAAGCATATCTAATCTACAAGAGAAATGTTGCCGTCAAGTACATTCTGGGGCACATGGTTCAGGAGCCATGTTTTGAAGACTACTTCATCGTCCGTTGGAACGGACGCGGATGGGCCCTGATATTTGTGAATCACGTCTAAGCAATCAAAGGCAACTTTGAAATTTTCTTCGTGCGATCCCGTTGGACGGATCGTACGCAGCATTGACAAGAAACCCGTTTTTCTGTAGAAGCATCCCATGGCATCCGTTGTCAGCCATTCATCCAAAGGTCTGCGCTTCCTGCGAAGCTTGCCCTCTTTATACCGAAGGCAGATCCAGGCGAGAACCCAGATGAAGGATTCAGCATCGTGACGGTACACGTGCTCGACTCGGCCTGCGATGGTGTCTGGCATGAGAAGGTCTAATGCCATGAACGGTGCTGTTCCTGTGCGCTCGAAGCCTTTGGGAGAGCCTTGAATCGAGGACAAGGAATCTTTGATCGACGATAAGTCGAAATCATTGAGGACGCTCATAAATCGACCGCGTAAGTGGTATCCCATGAGATTGCTGGGACTGATGTCGCTGGTGATGCACTCCTCTCTTCCAGAGCGCGCGATGGCCTGTAGCAGTAGTGAGTGGATGATAAATAGCACGAGAAGGACAGGTCACTTACACTTGACGACTTCCCACCATGCGAGGAGGAACTCCTCACCGCTCAGTGTCGTGATTGGCTCAAGCTTTCTGAACACGATGATGTATAGGACCCGGCTACCCGCGTCGTCGATCCCTAGCGCCTTTCTGATTATCGCTGTGGAAGTGTCTTCGAACTTGTGGAACCAGACCATCTCTGGAACATGGCCCAACACATCTGGATCTTCATTTGCAATCTTGTAAACCTCTTCGAGGATCTCGGGCTTGCTCTGGCGTGCCTCTTCTGGCCAAAAGAGCTTGGCAACCAATTCAGGTGGATTCGCTGAGGAAATGTGAACACCGTGGCAGAGCCGACAGCGCCTTACTCTTTACGGGAAATACCATGGTTGCACGTCCCCGTAGACCGAAATGAGTCACGCATTCCTCAGACCTCAAATCCAGTGTAAGGTCGACGCGCTTCCTCTTATCCTGGCCCTTCTTATCCCGGTCGTCCTTGTTTGTGTCGTCCTCGTACTCGACGATAATCTCGCCTTCATATCCAGGTTCAGGTTCGAACAACGGGTGGAGGCCCCACTGCTTGTACCCCATGCGCTGCATGATGAAGAGCAAGACCACAAAGCGTGGAAGGTCCTGAACGAAGTTGATGCCAGCGCATTGAATCGTGTGCTGACGATCGAACCACCAGAGATAGATGATATCGTCTAGAACGAGCCATTACTTCGACGACAGGACAATTGCGTTGCATCCACTTACTGTTTACTATAAACGAGATGACGTGCTGGCGCACCGTATGAGCTGCGAACATCTCCGCGACATACAAACCATTCTGGATGACAGGATGGTGTTTGTTCGGACCCTTCTTCTTTTTCTTGTTCCTCCTCTCCTCTTGCTTGGATTGCCTCTCTTCATCCTGCCTGGATCGTTTGCTGGTGGACGGCTCGTTTGAGCGTAAATGATCGGAGCCGCGTTTGTTGCTTCTGAGTCGGTGGGATATATTTTGCACTGCGTCGCACATGTCAAAAGAAGCAGCGGAGATACATGCTGGGCGACTTACCCTTGTTCGAGGTACTGTGAGAGGCTTGAGCAGTACCAGTGGTAGACGTCGAGTCTGTTGACTGATCGAACGAGTCCGTTGACTGTTTGGACATGTCCGTTTCCTTCATGTATTCCATATATAGGACATTAGGAGTCACGTAGTCCTTAGTGTAAGCAGACGGTGGATGAGGCAGACGCGGCTTCGGGCGTTTGAACTCGAATGTCGTTCGGACATCCACCCACTGGAAGTTCTCATGGTCTTTGGTGGGCGCCTTGCACGCAGACTTGTAAACATCTTTGGATTTTCCTTCCGGTATGATATCCGCGGCAGTCTGGTGAGAAACGACGACGATGTCCGGTTTGCGGCTGGACTTCTCGCCCTGATGTTCTTGGTGTATGAACGATGGATCATTCACATGAAAAAGGATATTGGTTTCATCGTCGTCTTGAAAAGCGGGCATTCCAGGTACGGTCACCTTCCCCAGTTCACGAAGTGCACGGTTGGCAGCCTCGACGAATTCAGAGTAAGACGGGGTTTCGCTCTCGATATTACAACTTGATACTGGCGTTAGTCTTTTGGGCGCTATTTGGCTTGCTGGCTCACAATTTAGTCAAGTGTTGCTTGATCTTCTGCGCCACACCTGGCCCATTGCAGAGGGGCATGACAGCCTCGAGGGGAGTATCGAGTAACGTGGACTTCTGATTGGGAGGAAGGGATTGGTTAGGATCTGCGCACATTTCGAGGAGCTGCTGCAGCATTTCGTCTGCCCCGCACTGCTTGAAGTTCCTGACGTCGCGCGCGATCCATGGACGGACATCACTGACGCTGCATGAATAACGGGGTTGAGTATGGATAATAGAGGTCGGAACAGAAAATCTGACGCACTCGACGCCTACAGTGTCGATGTGTTCGCTGACAACAGCGGAGCCGACTGCGTGTGGGGTGGACTTGAGATCGGCAGGCAAGCCAGACTCGGACTTGCGGGGAGGTGTGGTTGTCACTGACGTAGTGGCGCTAGCATTATTAGACATGATGAGGCCTTCTTAGGAAGATGGAAAAGAACGATGAACTTTGGGATGAAGAAGACGAGATTTGAGTTCGCTATTTAAGCTAGCGCAGCACTATTGTCGGACATTTCGAGTCAAGGTCCACAAGTGTTTGAATTCGAAGTTGATGGAAATCTCAGTCTGTCGGCTACAATTAATAAACGTTGTGGCACAAACGGTTGACAACGCATCACTTCATCAACACGACTCACCTCATCCAGATTAGTCTTGAATTTTCTGGCAGCCGTTGTATCTTCTTTGTATCGTTACTCCAATAGTTCGCTGCTGTTACCTTTTGACCCATCTACGATCGGGTACGATCTCTTTCTCAATGAACATTTTTCTAAAGTTTTTTTTGACGCTCCGCAGGAGTCCGCACATCGCACAAGCTTCTTCGAAAGTCTCGTAGAAGAATTTCACTGATTGGAGGAATGGTTTGTGGGCGTCGAAGGACTTGATGGCCCATCTGATAGCCTAGCGCCCAGCTGTCAATTTCTTCGCGGCGGCCATCACCGATTTCATGTGCATATTCACCAACCTTTCGGATGACGGATGTCGATGACTAGTAAGTACTTCTACTCACAACATGGGAATAATCAAGGAATCTAGATTCTGATCGTCTTATCAGACCCATCTGCCTTCCAGAACAACCGAGCTGCGATCTTTCTCTACGGTTGAAAGAGGACCCAGGAGGCCTCAAAATCACTCAGCTTCCTCAAATTATGGATCGTTGCTGTTGCCTTTGGTACGCATCAGGTGTAGTTTCCTTTGCTATCTGCTTTTTATTGACACTCCATATGTTGCACAAGGACGAAAGTCGGGCAAATATGGATTCCACTGATTCAAGTCCGCAAATGAGTGGCGTGTGGACGTCGAAGAACAATAGATGGACCGATAGCCTGTTTATCTGTTTATCAACTTGCGGCGGCCATTCACCCCCATTTTGATTTACAAATTTTAAACTTCCATATCGCCAACCTTTTGGACGAGTGAACACGCGAATATGTAGGAAATCCGATTCTGATCGTCTTCTCACATGTCTCCGTTTACCTCCAAAATATCGGGCTGTGCTTCCATTCTCTTCAGTGGAAGTCGTAGAGATGGACCCCCGCTACTCCCCTGGTATCGCCCCCAGGGAGTGGAATCACTCATTCTATAGTCCTCAAGCCTCGGAGATCGATGGTCTAATGCGATAGCGCGCCGTGAATTCTTGAAATACGGATCTCGGGCGCGATGTATATATATTTAAATCCGTGGTTATTATCCGTTGGGGCGAGGCCCTATGTTGGGTACTAGATTTTTTTAAAAGTTCTTGGTTATTGTCCGTTGCGGTGAAGTCTTATGGTGGACACTACCTGCACTATTTTACTAACCCTATGTTTCCTGGTCTTTTTATGGCGTCTGTGCTGTGCAGTGGTTCCGGCTTGCGCGAGAACGCTTAAGGCCTTCTCCAGCTCTTGATATGATGATGGTCGTTGGTGGGTTTCCTTCGATCCTCCCCTGGGAATCACATCTCCGATATATAGAATGACTGACATTCGTGTAGCCCAAGTATACAGACACTCGATCGATGAAGTGACCCATCTACAGACTATGTGGGCTTCATGGATGATATCCAGATGCTGGGTGGAAAGATCTGCGGACAAAGGTGATGTTCGAAGTGCTATAGAGTTTTGTGAGAATGATCCTATCTAGTCATGCAATATAAGCGGTTGGAGGACTGACATTATCTGCAGTTCACCGTAGGCCTGAACTTTAAGCTTGCACACGCAAATACAAAATAATGGCACCGTGCATGATGTTTGTTCTGCATCGAATTTACAAGGTTGTATTTAGCATCACATTTCGGAGGCACGCTGCCTCAACTGCAAGTATACCTACTCTATAAGAGAAATATTGCCTTCAAGTACATTCTGGGGTACATGGTTCAGGAGCCATGTCTTGAATACTACTTCATCATCCGCTGGAACGGACGTGGATGGGCCTGAATATTTGTGAATCACTAAGGTCCAGTTTGGACAATGACTCCGGGTTCAAAATTTCTGGCTCAAACCGCACGTGATGACCTGACTGCGTTAATAAGCATCTATTATCTAATAAAACAAAAGATACTCTAGTATCATCACAATGTCTGATAAATCAAGCGGCGGCTCTTCGCATTCCTTACGTTCCCGGGGTACTATAGATGTGACATCAGCTGCTGCATCTTGCGGAACGACCAGGAAGGCTCCTGCGGCGTGGACGAAGGCAGAAGAAACCACCTTTCTTGAGTTCCTTCTGCAGGCCCTTCCTGCATCAGGCGATGGGGGCTTCAAGGCGCCCACCTTCAATCAAGCATATGCGCACCTCAAGATAAAACACCCGCATCAAAGGGGCGCAGAAAAGGTTGGCACAGTTTGCAAAAATAAGTGGACATCGGTATGTTTCCAGTGAACTTTCAGCCGCCAGCAAATCAATGACATATATTTTTATAGTTAAAGAAAGCATACCAAAGTGTTGTTGAAATTAAGTGTACTTCTGGTTTTACTTGGAGTGATGATCATGGAGCGGGTATCACGGACAAAAAGGACGACGTATGGGCACACTTTATAAAGGTACGTCATCGCAAATAGACTGCATGCATACCCCTCTACTGATATTGTTTTCAGTCGCATCCTCACGCGAGGCCCTTCATGATGAAGGGCTTCGACCACTTCGATATCATGCAGCAGTTGATGCCAAGCAAGTCGAAAGGCTCTCACGTCTTCCGACCTACCACCGCCACCAATGCCACCACACCATCCTCCATCCCCACAGCCACAGACAACACACTTCCAGGGCCGCCACCATCCTCAGTGGGCCTGCCACCATCCTCAGTGGACCCGCCACCATCCTCAGTGTACCCGCCGTCATCCTCAGTGTACCCGCCACCATCCTCAGTGTACCCACCACCATCCTCAGTGGACCCTCCATCTACCTTTCTCGCTCCTTCCACGGAAGGGTCTACCTCTGCCGGTGGCTCGGCATGGACAAGTATAAGCCGGGGAAAGCGAAAACGCAGCGCGCTTTCGCCTGCGTCAGCTGCAGGCTCTCAGAAACGAGGCCGGCCACCATCTGCCACGCTATTGGCACAGCAGGAGGGCACCGAAACGATGAAAAGCCTCGTAGAAGTAGTACGTGAGATGCAGAAGACTCTTGTATTAGCGCTGGCGCTGCCGCCAGTGCAGCCACAGCCTCAGCCTTCCACGCATGTTGGAAGCGCCATTTCCCTCCTCAATAAATATACAGACCTCACGAGCAAAGAGCGCTTGGGCATTGCCAACTTTCTAGCTGAACACGAGAACCAGGCGATCATTTTCTACTCGTTGGATGAGGTGACGAGGCTTGAGTGGTTGGAAGAGAAGCGAGTCCTTTGCGGTGGTGCACCACGGCGATCAATTGACTCACAAGAATATATGATTGTATCGTAGCGGCGTACAGATCATTTCATAGTACAAAATTCATGTATTACCTACAACTATGGCAATGGGAGTCCCCTTCGTGCATGTTCTGCAAGATAGTCAGTCCACATTGCTTGCGCGATTCCGTCCCTACGAGCATCTGCGTGTCTGCGCTCAGCAGCATCCGCCGGTCCCTCTGAATGTGCGCCAGATCCAACACCATCATCCTCTGCTAGATCGTGCCCGTACTCGAGGGCAAGATCAAATATATCACCGTTGTTTCTTCGCATGAAGTTGTGAATGGCGCAAAGCGCCGCTGGGATCCGGGACTGGATGTCCATGGAGTATTCAGGCGCGCATATTAAGATGCGCCATTGTCGTTTCATGACGCCGAATATCCGCTCGATGATGTTGCGAAGTGCAGTGTGTCGCAAGTTGAACAACTCTTTCGGGTCTTTAGGCCTAGAAAAAAATTAATAGACAGACTGACAAAAGAAAAAAGGAACTCACGCGAGATTAGCTTGACGCCATTCCTTCAGGTGGTAGCGGACACCTCGATAAGGCACAAGAAGTGCGTCGCATGTACCAAAGCCAGCATCGGCTAGAAGATACTTGTCTTTGGGCACACGCAAATCATGAGAGCATGCGTCGTTCCAAAGGGAAGCATCGGCAACTGAGCCGTCCCACCCTGTGAGTGAGTAAATGAAAAAGAAGTCGAGGTCGCAGATAAACAAGCAGTTCTGCGATAAAAAGCCTTTCCTGTTGCGCAGGACAACATGGTCTTCAAGCGGCGCAAAAACGCGGATGTGGGTGCCGTCAACAGCACCGATACAGTGGTCGAAGAATCGGAATCGAGGGTCAGCGTGAATTGCCGCAGAAAGTGGGGTGTTTTGGTCCGGGAAGCGGACGTTCAAGGTGTAGAAGGGAGCCGATGAAAAGAACATGAGTAGGCGTTTAAAATATCTGCAGAAATCAGCACAACTTGAACAATAGTTATATCAAAAGTTAGGCACTTACCTTGTAATCGTATCGGGAGAGCACTGGAACCTTTCTCCGACGTGGCGAGACGAAAGTCCAGTAACACACGTGTAGAGAAAAATGCCGAGTTGCTCTGACACGCTTACCCCATTCCGGGACTGGACAAAGCCGTGTCGGTTAAGAACCGCTAACAGCTCATCGAAAATTTGAAGGTCGACGCCGAAATTGTGTCTGATCCTGTCTGGATGACCACTGATCAGTTCATATACCCATGCTTGCCCAGTAAGTATGGATGTGTGGTAAGGAATTCTTTCAGCGCGGGATAAGAATAAAAGATGGTATAGATGTGTGACCTGGGCGACCACAATGGTGATGATAATGACCACAATTTTGTGTCGTCGATCGTGTTGCATTTGCGCTTCAATATCCATGGCAGTGATGGATATGACACGCATATATATGCCGATTATCTATCTATATACTTACATGCCATCTGGACCTATCACGTGCAATCATCACGTGCAGTTTGAATCAGAAATTTCGAACCCGGAGTCGTTGTCCAAACTGGACCTAAGCAACGCATGACGACTTTGAAGTTCGCTTCGTGCGATCGCGTTGGGCATATTTCATCCGCCGTTGCTAGATAGCTTGCTTTTTTCCCATGGCGCCCCCTGGCGTCCACTGTCAACCATTCATCTTGAGGAGTTCACCATTTTCATATCGAAGACAAATCCAAGTGAGGACTCAAATGAACGATTCAGCATCATGATAGTACAACTGCTCGACTTGGCCTGCAATGGCTTTCCACGTGAGAAGGAGTAGCGACATGAAGGGTACCGTTCCTGTGCGCTCGAAGCCTTGGGGAGCGTCTTGAATTGAGGATACTGATTGTATGATCGATGACAAGTCGAAATCGTTAAGGACGCTGATAAATCGACCACCGAAGCGGTATCCCATAATGTTACTGGGGCTGACGTTGCGGTGATGCACGCCTCTCTTCCAGAGGGCGCGATGGCCTGTCGGAGTAATGGGTGAATGATAAAGAACAAGAAAAGGACATGATGACACTTGCACTTGACGACTTCCCACCATGCGAGGAGAAACTCTTTGTCGCTCAGCGTCGTGATTGGATCAAGCTTTCTGAGCAAGATGATACGTATGACCCGGTTGTCCCTGTGGTCAATTCCTAGTGCCTTTCTGATTGAGTTCAGCACGGATAATGGTAGCTGGAACCGGAGATCTAACGCACTTGACACCTAGAGTATGGATGTGTTCGCTGACAATAGTGGAGCAAACTGCGTGTGGGGTGAACTTGAGGTCGGCGGACAAGCCAGAGTTGCCAGGAGTTGTGTCTATCACTGACGCAGTGGCGTCAAGATTATCGGCCATGATGGGGCCTTCCTAGGGAGATAGAAAAGAAAGGTAAACTTTGGGATCAAGAAGACGAGATTGAAGCTCGTTATTTAAGCTAGCGCAGCACTATTGTCGGACATTTCGAGTCAAGGTCCGCAAGTACTGATAGTAGACCGATAGTTCCTAGTCGAATCCAAAGAAGTTGATGAGAGATCCCAAATTCTCGGTTAATTTTGTGGCGCAGTATCACTTCATGAACACGACCTGCCAGCATCTGTTATTGATCAAGAGATGTTAAATCGGTATGTGAAATAGGCTAGGGTGTGACATGGGTGGACCCGGGTGGCACCCGTACCCAATCCGCGGGTGGATGGAACTTCAGAAGCCTACCCGCACCCGTGCGGGTGAGAGTACCACGGGTGCGGGTGGATCCACGGGTGGGTCCGCAGATGGTATGGGTCACCCGCGGGTGACACATTATGAATCGTAGAATACGACATGGGTAGTACTACATAATATCAATCACAGTCGATTTTGCTGATACCAGCCTGCCTGATTCTTTTTCCTTGCCCTTTGCCATCTTCTGCCGCATGATATTCGTAGCGACACTGAGATCCGGCATAAGAGGCGTGTTGAACCACGATCCAACAGCAACCTGCGCTTGAAGGTCTGGGAGCTGATACCGTGTTGAAGATGATTCACCTGTAGACGGCCACCAGAGAAAGCACGTTCGGCATCAACTGAGGAAGCTATGGAGCATTAGATCACTACTACTTTGCTTCATCAACGTCGTCCGAAACTGTTGATGATGTGGCTGTTTCAGCTGAGTCTTCAGAGTTTGCAGGGCCACCACACTCCTCGTCGAGGAGTTCTTGCTCTAGAGGGGTGAGCTCGGCATTTTCCAAACCATCTTCAAGAGTTATGATGTCATTGTTGTCAGAGGGACATTTACGGCCTCGTTTTGCGACCTTCACTTGTCGTTTCCGCTTTGGCTGACGGTAGAAGAAAGAAAGAGAAGCCTGGTTATGAAAAATTAATATAATACATGCAAAGATGAATCAAACGTACCTTTGCGATAAGGTTCACAGTATGGGGAAAAAATCTGATTGAGGACGAGGAATGGAATTGGACTGGTCATTTTGCACGTCGAGTTTTGAACATTGAAAACTTAGAAGTAATATCACATTTTGATAGCTCTGATAACAACAAATCTGATTTTGACATTGGGTGGGAGTTCGGTAACAAGTTGTGAGTTTGACTCGGCCGAAAAATATTGAGTACTGACTACCCGCGGATACCTGCGGATACACCCGTTTAGCAAGTCCTCCGACCCGTACCCGTGCGGATGGAACCATCCACGCTACCCACCATCCGTACCATCCGTCCCACATTCCGTCCGCGGGTGGTACCCGGGTGGGTATCCGGGTAACGTCCACCCATGTCACACCCTAAAATAGGCATGCATTGGAAATACTTCGCCCTTGAACACCTAATGGGCCTCGCAGGATTTAGGGAGGCGTTCGAACACCCATATAGCCAAAAGTTGGCTCCTCGACGTGCGGAGGAGCCGGCTGTTATTGGTGACGATGCAGGAAATAAATAGCTGAGCGGCCTGAGCCCCAACATAATAACACGCACGTGGCGGTCATTTTGATTGGTCAAAATGATCCACGTTGATTATGAAGGACAAAGCCTATGGAGAAGGAATGTCACGAATCTGCTCACGCCTTAACCAATCTCCCCACTCGGTGCCAAAATAGATGTTCACCAGCCTCCCCTTCCTTCCCCCAAATACCTCCTTCTCCCTGCACCCATCCCCCAACATCCTATGAGATGGGTGGTCCAAACGACATCCATCAAAAACAATACCCCACAACGATGTCTAAAAACGCTGCCACCACATAACATCCTCCCTCTCGCTGAGCACATGTTCATAGAACAAAATCTGACCCCCAGGTTTCAGCACCTCCGCAGCCAATGAAGAGATGGTGGATTGTGGCGAGGGGATGGAGCAGAGAGTGAGGACAGATATGAGTGTGTCTACAGGTGGGTGCGGCGCAGGAAGATAGGAAAGGGTGGTAGAGATATTTTCAGCACCGCAAGGGAGGATGAGAAGTGTTCCATTATCTTCGTTGTACCCAGCAGCAGAGGCAGTACGGCGCAGCTTTGCATGCATATGCACGTTGGGTTCTACAGCTACGTATTTCGTAACACGCGAATGGTCGAGGTAGTTGACGGTGTGGCCGTGTCCTGTCTTTTGTATAAACAGATTATCATTTCGGTGGAAGAAGAGACGCACCTGCACCGAGGTCTAGCACAACGCCATAGGCGTGTGGAGTGATGAGCCCTTTTTTGACCGCCCTTCCGGCTTCGTCAGCGCTATCACCATAGAGGTCCCATGGGACATGAAAATGCGGGATATCTCAAGAGGTTGGAAGAGTAAGTAGGAAACATGCCAGATTGCTATAATCGTAGGCCAGAGGCCGCCGACAAAGCCAAGACGTAGGTCTGTGACCACTCCGAAGGCTGCATCGAGGCGCATCTCAACTTGAGCTGACGCACGCAGTAAGCACTTGCCAGTGACTTATATAATTACACGTGCAAGCAGCACTGTGCTACGTTTGGATTGGACAGTTTTGTTCTATACTCCCCTTCATCGAAGTTTATTGAAAGCCCATTGCCATCTTTGCTTTCTCACATACTCTCCAAACGCACTCCACGTCGTACCTGGTCATACCCTCGCGCTGCCTCTTTATGACTTGCATGCGCCACCGGATCATCCTTACGTGCGGACGCTGTACGCATACCGTACAGCGCTGGTACAGCTCTATGCGAGATCACGCCAACTGGACTCTGCAAGTGTGCGATTTGCCCGCATGGGAAGCATATCACTGTGGTGTCAGTTCGGGTGTGAGTATCTCGAAACGCCACACCATCTATTTGCCAAGTGTCGTCATTTCGTGGAAACGTGCAACAAGTCGTCGCAGGAAGTGGTTGATATAACTTCCATGCTTCTTTGTGAAGCAAAAACCACTGTTCAAACAACAGATATTTATCTACACCCCGCATGGCACTTGTTCGTTGACGACACTTTAGTGTGGCCCTTGCACCAGACTCACTATTGCTTGGGAACTTACCTGCGATTCAACCAGCAGATCAAATAACCACTGGGCTGGCGACAAAAATAGTGCACGCATGGCACGTTGCAAGTATTCGTTTGGCAGCGTAAATCTGGGGGATGTACAAGCGTATTATGAATCCGATGGTCGGAAAGGCTGAGCGTGTGTTTGATTTGCCTAGACATTTGCGGCATTTGCAGTCACATTCATAATAGCTATGATCATGATGTATTTCGAAGAGCTGAGGAGGCACTTCTGTATGTAGTACCTGAGTTACATCAGTAGCGTAGTCAGCTAATTTATTTATCGTTTATTGTTGAAAGTTCTGGCATAATTAAATTCCTTGGCTTCGAAGTATCGGCGGTCTGATGGCGTAGTTGGTTATCGGCATCTGTCTAACACACAGAAGGTCCTCGGTTCAATTGTTCATGCCTAAAGTACCCTACTGATACACCGTCTCATCGTACACTCGTTCCATAATTAACGATTAGCTTCACCGTCTGTTGAAACACATGCTCGTATATGAACTACTGCAGGCTTCGAAACTCGGTTTTGTTCCTGATTGATTGAGCGTTCTGTTTCTTGGAACACTTGAACTTGAACGTCTCGGTTCTTCAAGTTTTCCAGCAAGTTTCTGTCTGATTGTATATCTCCGGCTACGAAACCAATTGCATTCTGAAACAAAATTATATTTTATGCGCAGTTATTTAAATGCTGCTCACCAAACCACCACCGCGACTCTGGGCATCACATCTTGAGGATTTCCGATTCTCTCGAAGGAGTAGCCGCCGATTCAACCTATAGGTCACGTTGGTAAGCTCATTGCGTTTATCATCTGTCTGATCCATTTGGCGACTGACGAGGCTAACAAGGAGTTCCCTACGACTACAAAACATGCGGGTCAGTATTTTGATTTGATTTGAAGTATTCCACATCATTACCATTAGGCCACAACAACCATATTCCAAACCACACAACTGCGTCATTTCAGTGGTAGTCAGATGCATTACCAATGCACTCACAGTTTTGTTTCACGACTGTAAACTTGAGGCTAGTTAGGAAATATTTCATTCGGGGAAGTAAAATACTTACCAAGATTATCACGGTTATGGTCGTCAAACTGAGAGATCATTAAAGGAAACGACTGAGGAGAGAGGTAAATACCTGGTGACCAGAGCAGTCTCTGTATAGAGGTAACGTCAGAAATCCACTCAAGTAAGATGCTTCCTATCTTACCAAGTGTCCAATGAATCAAACGGTCGACCGTTGTCACCGTGCTATAAAAGATGTAGTAAGGAGTGGTAGGCGATATCGGATACATAGTCATACTCTCTAAAACTAGAGACTCGTCCCTTTTGCAGACTCCAGGTGACGCCGACGGTGGTGATGGAGTCACAGGCCGCACGTGCAATCCAAGACAGCGCAATCAGCACAATTTGACTGTCTATAAACGTCATGATGTCCGTCATAGAAATCGCCCTTACTGAGATAATGAGCATGGAGATCTGTGCGACTACGGAGAGCATTCCGCAAAGAACAGGTAAGAAAAGGCTTCTAGTCAACTTCCAAAGTCGAAATGCGTAAAATGACTGACACCAACCGTAAGCACCAAATAATTAATATACATCAATCACTTACATGAACGATGAATACCGTAAAGCCACTCAACATGATGACAAGGTCTGCCGCTAGAGGAAGGATATTGAGTCGAGATGGATCACTATAGGCGCTGACAGTCATTGCCCGCAATGTTAATATTATGCAGACAAATTGGCCCAGCTGAATCAAACTACAGAACGGATGTCAATCGAAGGCACCAAGTCAAACATGGAACATACAGGATTGCAGATACCTAAACATGATGCGATCAATAGGAATATATTGCAAAGTTGAGCGACTCACAGTTGCTTTCAAGGCGAAGCCATCGCTCGCGAATCTTGTAAAATACAAGTAGGACTGGCAGGCAAGACAACCAAACAATGCAGCGCTCAAAAGCCCACCAACTTGGGTCGGCCCGATGATGGCCACAGATCCATCGGAACTATTTGCAGAGCCCTCTAAGCTGCTACTCATCGTACCCAACGCCAGGTGATACGAAACAATCTGATCGCTGTGTCTGGCTTATCGAAGCGTTTACCGATACCAGTTGGTGATGCGAAGAACCTGGAAAAAACGGTCAAGTGCAGTAATTCCAAAAGTGCGGCTCGATGTCCGATATTTATATGGCATGTGCAATTGAGCTTCAAGTTGGGTTGGACTCCGAGTCGGAAGTAGTAGTATCCCCGGATATTTGGTGATGTCATTGGGTTCATACGCAGCACAATCATTTCTGATGAAGCTCAAGTTATGTACGTTCCGCTTTGGCGATAGCACTAGTACTTACTTCTGTACGTTCCCTAGCTAGCTTCACTCGTGTAGCGTTGGGGTGATAGTCGTTGCAAGCTTGACTTGGATCCGAATAGTCGTCTGTACAACAGTCGCTAACTATAATAGTTAGTTGGACTTACCGTCATTGTATTAATAACGCAAGGACCGTGATGTGCGGGACTAGGCCTGCGGCCGTATGGACGGCATCGGAATTCGTCGGGATATCTGCAGAACCGATACATAGCTTCGAACCCAACTCCCACGGCGTTTGGAAGTCTGATTCAACCTCTAAATTCTAATTCATGTCTTGACTCCACAAAGAAAAATGCAGATTATCTTAGAATCAATTTTTTTGCGACATGAACAATTTGATGTGTTTGTGGCACTTCGAAGACGTCGACATTGCAAGTTTGAAATATTTTATGGGGCAAGCGGATGACCATTTGCATAATTAGATAATAAATATTTCTCGACTTTGTATCGGTCTGATGGCGTAGTTGGTTATCGCATCTGTCTAACACACAGAAGGTCCTCAGTTCGAGCCTGGGTCAGATCACATTTTGTGCTGTTCATTGAAGCTGTCCTATTTTTATCGAACAGTCACCCTAAGCTTAACTTGTCCTACCGCCAGATGCACAATGAGCACCTATCTTTACGAACTCCCAACTACCGGCGCTATCTCTTTTGGAGACTTTTGCGTCGACACTACGGCATCCAATGCATATGCAAGTCACATCGCTGAAGCCACCCAAGCGCGAGCAAACCTACGCGGTGTCCTGAAAGTGACCAAACGCACTGGCACAGATGACAAGGATTATTTGCGCTTGATCAAGGTGCGCATCACCGTTTGCAATTCGGGGCTCGCACAGTATATATCCCCTAGGTTCTCGATGACTACCTCCCATACTTGCATGGGATCATGGCCTGTGTCGTATCAGGGGACATTCGTCTGAAATCCGAACCCCGTGAGTCTTATGGTGATCCGCTATGCATTTGACTGACTAGCCTGAGATTCGAAGAATTCAGCTGGCGCACGACACTGTCCGCACATCTATTTCACATGTCCCCAAGAATCACTCTTGCATCGCTGCATGCGGACCTTGCATCCTCATTGCTCACTTATGCCTTTGCGCTGTCGAATTTTGCGCGTGTGACGGTTGAAAGTCTCGGTTCTTATGAATATGATCGAGCGATCTCAGAAATCGAGAGAAAAGCGAAGGACGAGAAGCTCAATTTTGCGGTGACAATGCTGTGCAGAGCGAGCGGGATCTTTACCTATGTGAGCGAGAAGGTGTTGTTGGATTGGGATAAAGGGGAGGGTGCGTCGGTTAGGCCGCCCGATCTGAGGAAGGAGGTTAATGCTGCCCTTGCAAAGTCAGTACGCTCCCTCATTTCATCTCATCTCATGTTGGATGCCATGTTGTAGGATGGCACTCGCTGACGCGCAAACTCTGGCAATTCGCAAGTTTCTCTCCAAGTCTGCATACGACAATGCCATATCCCCCGGCCCTCCGCTTCCAAAATCACACCCCTCTATCCCGCTGATATTTAAATTCCACCTTGAATGCGTGTCGCTTTACTCCTCTGCGCGTGCGCTTGCCATGACGCTCGGCTCCACACGCCCATCTTCCTCGTCCTCTAATCCGGACTCCAATGCAGAAGTCTGCGTCGAGCTGCGCCGTTACCTTGCAGATGCATCGGCATTTCATACAGCGCTTGCGCATAAGTGGCTTGGTGTTGATGCAGGAGAGAGTGGAGTGCGCGAAAAGGGCGGGGAGGCGGTGGCATGGTTGCTATGGGCAAAGAAGGAGCTTGAAGACATGAAGGAGAGCGGGCTTGGTATTGCAGTAGGGCGGGACCGCGAGAAGCGGGGGCGCAAAGGACGTGTCGCGGATGAATTGGAGAGCGTGGGCGTATTTTTGAAACACTATAAGAAAATCAATGATTCGGTAAGTCGAAGGTATTTCGATTGCATGAAATATTGGGTACTGATCATTTTTTTTTGTTTACGGCGGGCAGCTGACATTTCAGCCTGTGCCTAAGCAGCAGGACTTGCAAGCGCGGATACCTACAGGGATTTTGGCGGTGCATGCAAAGCCCTACACACTTCCTTCCCCAGCATTCGGACCTGGGTCCGTCGAACATGCACGTCTACAAACGGAAACGCTAACACTAGAACACGATGATTCGTCCGGCGATGAGGCTCTTGCTAGTACTACCAGTCCGCGCACGTACGCTGGAGCCGGTTCGTACTTCTGACCCTTGTACAGTTAAGGTCAAGTGCTGTGTCGCATGTCCTGGTAGGTACAGTGAGGTTATACTATATCCACTTCTAAATCAGGTCTCGATCGAATAACCCCCCTTCTGTTATTTATCTTAAGACGAGAAGCTGTACTCCTACTTGAAATGCTTGATGAATGTGGACGTCTCAGATCTGCGAGGTATGTACTGGCACTTGCAATTTTCATCAGGTGCCTAGGGCTGAGAACAGTCCAAAGTTAGCAACAACCCACCCCTGGAGTGGAGCAAGCGCCTCGTTTTTGAGGGCACTATTTACGATGTTTAGGAGCCAGTATGTCAGGAGACGGCAAACAGCGGCTTGGCATAATGGAACACGCTGAACTAGTACTAGTAGCGCGCTGATTTGTGATAGACATGAAATTTGCTCATGCAGCAGAACTGTTGCGCTGTACCAGTTAGTCGAGATCTCGAGATGCATTACATGTGTAACTTTGCCTTCAAGTGATTTCAAGAGCATGTCCAACACGCTGTATTTGGACTTGGCCTGGACATGTCCGTGATCGATCATCGTCATCTGCTACGGCATATACCGTCAAACATTCCGTGGCCCAGACCTGAATGTGTCTAGTCCGTGACTGGGGTTAACGTTGATCACGGCTGCTCCATTACTTCAGGCTTCCATCGGTACGCGGAGTGTGATTCTGCCATCCTGCTAGTGTGGCTCTGTCATCTGCCAACCGTCGGTGCTGACCTGCCAACGATCAGTTGCCATGCATGCGTCTTGTCAAGTTCATTGTCGACCTATTCAATTCAGTCAATAGCGTTGTCGACGACTTACGTACAGACAAGGATTGTTCACAAAAAGGTGGACCCTTCAAGGATAACTCGCGTCCGTAGTGTTGACATTTCTTGTTCTAGGGCCAAATGGATCTATAATGGACAGCTCCGTTCTGATTTCAGCCATAATAATCACAATTGTCACTTAGCCTTCCATCACTTCCTTAGACGTGTCAAACGCAGCCGCCACCACTGTCAATGTGTCTCAGGTCGACAAATACTGCGACCGTAAAGGGAACCACAAGCACAATATGGCATATGGCACTTTACGCCAGGGTGATGCCCGAGATCGGAGAAAATATGATTGTGATGGTATACGGGAAGGTAGCCACAAAGGATCACTTTCAATCGGAGGACTTTGAACTATTTTTATCCAGTGCATCGACGAAGAGTAGCTTTTGTGTGCGGCAGCGCCTTTTACAAGCTCTAGAGTGCTCGATATCTATTTGCAAATCAGGTTGAAACGGAAATGACGTCCTTGTACACCTTGGGGATATAATGCTTACGGTAACGTCATTTGGTGTCGTAAGGTGGGAGGCCCCACTTCTCAGGCTTGAAATGCTCGATGGACGTAAGCGTCTCATCTGGGACGTATGGGCTGGGACTGGCAACGTCCAAAAGGCGTTCGTCAGGTACCCAGACAACTGAAGAGAACGTGAGACCAATTACAACTCTGAAACAACAACCTACCTGACATTCCGGCTCTTTTCCCCGCTTGGACACCGTAAACGGCCTCTTCAAAAACGAGTCCTTTGCCCCTTTCCACAGTCTCAGCCTCTGTGCACTGCTCTGTAGCGCCCACTGCCTTGCCTAGAACACTTGCAGCATACAAGAAGATATACGGGTCAGGCTTCCCCATAGTCTTGCCTGCTACATCATCAGCGCAGACGATGTTGTCTTGAAAGTAGTCAAATAATTCTTTGAGATTCTCAGACTTGCGGACAAAGTTCCGTCGTAAGGAAGCAGTGGCGACTATGATTGGAACGTTGTATTTCACCAGGTGCTGAATTAACTTCTGTACTCCCGGAAGGAGCTGGACAGTTGACCACTTCGCATCTTGCTTTTCTTGGGACTCTGTGAGGTACCGGTCGATTGTAAGATCGATGCCGGGAAACAAAGAGAGCAGGTGTGTCGCAGATTCAATTCGTGCTGCGATATGGTTTGCGTTGAACGAGTTCAGAGAGATCGGAGAGCGTACGTTTTCCCATGAGCTGTGCCTTGATGTCCCATGTCATGATCTTGCCGTAGCGACCGAGGATATCATCTTGGAGTTTGTGTCAGCTGTTGAAGAAGCGCAGTGACATGGAGCGTACTATTGACTTCGGTATATACTCTCTCTGTGTCAATGAGAAGGCCTGTCGAAGACGCGTCTTGCCTTGAGTACTAAAGGAAGTTAGAAGTACGACGCACCATCCATGTCAAAGACCACATTCTCACATCGGGGACTGCAATATTTAAGACATATTGCAATCCCCGGATGGTGTCTGAGTCTATGATAGTTACGTGGAGGAATTCGAGACTCGGAGGGGCCAAGCAGCAATGATTCCCATGTGGCGGCACTGATACACTATGTCCTCGAGCTCGGTGATACGCCATGATGCAGACACATGTCGGAGTGTACGTGTATTAGATCAAGCAGTCTCGTTGCAGAAAATTATACCCGGCATGATACGACGAGCGCGTATCGCGAGATACTTGCGAGAGAAACTGTCACGGTAAAGTCTTGCGCTGTCCTGCGCAACACGTATCGATACGTGGTGGACGTTAACGGCAGCTTCAACACTCCGCTCTCCGACCTTCGAGGTGGGAATTGCCTTTTGGGGCGGCGCGCGATTTCATTGAACGTGGCAATGGTCGACCCAACTTGAGTTATTAGTTATAGGTTGTGGTCAAGACCAGTTAAGTTCAGTTCGTGCCCTTGGTAGATCTATAGGTCAAACCTTATAAAATTACCTTCGGCCAGACCCCAGACGTCCCTTCCATCACTTACTGAGACATGTCAGATGCGGCTGCCACCACTATCAATGTGTCTCAGGTCAACAAATACTGCGACCGTAAAGGTGATCGCAAGCACAATATGGCATAGGGTACTTTACGCCAAGGTGATGCCCGAGATGTGATTGTGATAGTATGCGGAAAGGCAGCCACAAATGATCATCGATCACTTTCAATCAGGGGATTTTGAACTATTTTTGTCCAATGCACCGACGAAGAGTAGCTTTTATGTGTGGCAGCGCCTTTTACAACCTATAATCGATATCGGTAGCGTCATTGGGTGTCGTAAGGTGGGAGGCCCCACTTCTCGGGCTTGAAATGCTCGATGGACGTAAGCGTCTCATCTGGGACGTATGGGCTGGGACTGGCAACGTCCAAAAGGCGTTCGTCAGGTACCCAGACAACTGAAGAGAACGTGAGACCCTAAATTACAGCTCTGAAACCACAACCTACCTGACATTCCGGCTCTTTTCCCCGCCTGGACACCGTAAACGGCGTCTTCAAAAACGAGTCCTTTGCCCCTTTCCACAGCCTCAGCCTCTGTGCACTGCTCCATAGCGCCCACTGCCTTGCCTAGAACACCTGCAGCATACAAGAAAATATAAGGGTCAGGCTTCCCCGTAGTCTTGCCTGCTACATCATCAGCGCAGACAATGTTGTCTTGAAAGTAGTCGAAGAATTCTTTGAGATTCTCAGACTTGCGGACAAAGTTCCGTCGTGAGGAAGCAGTGGCGACTACGATTGGAACGTTGTGTTTCACCAGGTGCTGGATTAACCTCTGTACTCCCGGAAGGAGCTGCACGGTTGGCCAGTTCGCATCTAGCTTTTTTTGGGACTCTGTGATGTACTGGTCGATCGTGATATCGATTCCGGGAAACAAAGATAGCAGGTGTGTCACAGATTCAATTTGTGCTGCGATGTGGTTTGCGTTGAATGAGTCCAGAGAGATTGGAGAGCGTACGTTTTCCCATGAGCTGTGCCTTGATGTCCCATGTCATGATCTTGCCGTAGCGACCAAGGATATCATCTTAGAGTTTGTGTCAGCTGTTGAAGAAGCACAGTGACATGGAGCGTACTGGTGACTTCGGTATATACTCTCTCCGTGTCGATGAGAAGGCCTGTCGAAGACGCGTCTTGAGTATGAAAGGAGGTTAGAAGTTCTACGCACCATCCATGTCAAAGACCACATAATCTATTCTTCTTTCCATGTTATCTACTGGATGAAATCGAACACGATCAGTGAGATGGATGCGATGGCACTGTTCTGAGTCCATGATAGTCACGTGGAGGAGTTCGGGACTCGGCGCGGCGAAGCAGCAATGATCCCCATGTGACGGCGCTGACACACTATGTCCTCGAGCTCGGCGACGCCATGGTGCAGACACATGTTGGAGTGTGCGTGTACTAGATCAAGCAAATTCCTTGCAGAAAATGATACCCGGCATGACACGACATGATTAGAAGAGCGCGTATCACGAGATGCTTGCGAGAGAAACTGTCACGGTAAAGTCTTGCGCTGTCCTGCGTAACATGTGTCGATTGGCGGTGGACGTTAACGCCAGCTTTCGACACTCTTTGAGGTCCGCTCTCCGTCCTTCGAAGTCGGGAATTGCCTTTTGGGGTAGCATGCGATTTGAACTAGTTCGTTGAAAGTGGCACAATCTGGTCGACCCAGCTTGAGTTATTAGTTATAGGCTGTGGCCAAGGCCAGCTAAATTCAGTTTGTGGGCTTGGTACATCTATAGGCCAAGCCCTATAAAATTACCTTCGGCCTGACCTCAAACGTCAAGGCGGTCGGCTAAAAGGAGGCAGTAAGTACTGCCGCAGGCGGTTCCGAATATTCAATTCTCACAAGCCATTGGGGCGTCCAGAAGTGCACAGCACCGAACAGACTCACTCAATTTTCACGTTAACCCACGGCGTCCATGGCTGTCCTCCACGGATAAGTATATAGTCTGAACACTGGTCCTGAGACTGCTTTTATCCCGCGTTCATTGTTTCAATTGCAATCTAGTCTTGGTCCGACGATCTTGTCTATAACAGCCTGAGAACGGGCCGCCCCATTCTTTCAAATTCAGTACTTCCCTGTGAGCCGTGCCAGCTTGCCAAGTGACTACCAGGTTTGCACTTGAATTCACTGTGTTGCCAACTTGAAGTCGTTGCAATAGGATCTAGACGACAAGATGGCCAGCGACTCGACGAGCCGTCGCTCCACATGCTCATCGTACCGTCGTCGTCGTATTCTCATCATTCCAGCGTTGCTATTCGCCTTTTGCCTGTTCTTTAGAACGCCATGGTCTCTCCCTCCTCTCAACCTCTCGGGAATATCCTCGTCGCTTTCACGTGCCAGTATCGTTTCGATGGTCAAAGGTCCACCAGTGGAAGAGATATATGGCTTGCTCCATTTCGTGACGAGCGATGACGATCGCATGCTGTCCCATTCGATAAACCCTGCTGCGCCGATCGATCTGAGTGTGTATCTTGGTGGTGACCAACCGGATTGGAAATCCCATATGAGAAAGCTGAGAGAAGAGTATCCACTGATCGTATTCTCGAAGGTATGTCAGGTGCTTCAATTTACTGGATCCTGTGTGAGGTTCTGATGCTGTGTCTGCATCAGTCATATTGCCCGTGCGTTCTTTTCCCCCTGTAATTTGATTTGTGCGGTAGCCTCATGCACTCCGGTTCTATGTAGGTTCTCAACGAAAGCCAAGAAGTTATTGGAGTTGTATAATCTTTCTCCTCCCCCTAAAATCATCGAAGTTGATCTTCGAGGTATGTCGTGGCTGTGCTTACCTCTATGATGCATGCACTGATTGTTTTTACAGATGATTGGGACTTTATAAAGCTCATCCTTACCCGTCTCACCGAGCATTCTACGTTCCCAAACATAATCCTGAATGGAGAGGGACTCGGCGGAAACGACGACTTGCACACGTTGCGTGCACAAGGCAAGCTGAAGAAGATGTTTGAGAATGCGGGGATGACGGTAAGGGAAGATATCGTGAAGGAGCGAGAGACGCAATAGAGTTGGCGATGTCCACGTCATCATATGTGATGAAACCAGTGAGACTCTGTGCTTTAAATCGAACGCTGTATTGTTAACATCTACATATTTATGTGTACTGCTATTATGCTGTTTTGTTCATCCGAGTAAGAGTTTGCGGTGGAACTATTTGTGGGTTTTATGTGACCAAAACTCGGTTATACATGTGTCCAAGAGCAGGGTGATAAGCCAGCAGTGGACGGACATGTCAATAAGCTTCCCTGAGAAAGGTTCAGTGCGGACGGGCGCTCGGGTTTACCCGTCCGACATCGGAAAGGGAGAGTATAGGGTCAGCATTGCGGGCTAGAGGTACGTATCGATAAGAGAAGAATCCAAGCTGAAGAACAAGGGCGTTTGAGTTTATGGTGTACCTTTCGGAGAGGGTATGGGGAATTCGAATACGTAGTATGATTAACAAACGAACCCGTGCACTGACGGCACTTGAACGGACAAGTTTGGATGAGAAGCTGCCCGATGGCGATAATCTAGGTCCACCAATGAGACATACCAGGTACATATACGATAAGACGACAGAGATCCGTAATGCATATGGTTGAGGACTGTTAACAGCGGCGTACACTCAGCGGCGAGGTGCATCAATATTCCCACGTGAATCCGGAGGCCACGTCGCCACTATAAACGTTTGTTCCATGGGTGTTTCGCCATCCTTGGCGCATCAAAAAATAATATCGATAAAGATTGGTTGTTTAACGGAGGAACATACCAAATTAGGTATAAGCGGAATTCCCGTGTGACCAAAAAGGTTCGAGCCGATGAGAAGATCAATTAGGCTCGATTCAATTCCTTTTGCTTTTCATTGTTTCGGGTTGCACTCCAACTTCTCGGCCTCGCTTTCAAAATAACCGACCAAAACTTTCATTCACTTACCATTCATTTATCTAGGGCCTTTTTTAGTCCTCAACGCTCTTTTACCTTTCCTTCCCGATTAACTCACTTCGTCGGTCATCATGTCGACGCTCCCCATCACCTCCATTCTCCATTCGCTGCAGCACCAACGAAAGTCACTCAATCATAGAGCTACTTCTCTGGCTCTCATCAGCCTTATCGTTGTGTCATTTTACATCTTTTTTGTAGCAAGGCCTTCATTAGACCTTGCTCCAATAGCACTTCGGACCGACGCTCTCGGTCACGCAGGCACCCATGGATCACATCAACAAGACAGAGACGATCCTCCACCCTCGTCTAGACTATTCCGTCTACCTTCGAATAGCCAAAGAAAGACAGTCGTCACCAATGTCAACCGTCCCCAAATAGAATTGGACGAGTCGCAAGAGCTAGCAGCAGTAGCCGCTTTCATAGCAGCACTACCACAGAACATGATTCCACGTTCGATAGACCCAGCCAAACCTATTGACCCCCAACTTGTACTTGACTTCGACACTCGTAGTCCACGCGCCGCAGACGAATTAAATCAGATCGTGCAAGACGTGTGGTCGAGATATCCTGTTATGTTGTTCACCAAGGTTAGTCGCTTCTTCTCCTTCTTAGCCTCATGCTGATGCTCATCTCTCATCCTAGGCTCACAATGCACATTCTAGGGAAATAAGACGCATCATTGCAGTTATGGACTTACAACCGCCTCCTATGACTTTTGAAGTTGATCAACGAGGTAAACGGGTTCCCTGACTTTGATTTACTAGTCGCTCATCACTCTACACGTGTTCTCAGAGGACTCAGAAGTTTTGATCCCTTTGTTACATCGTCTCACATCTTCGACCGATCTTCCCCTCATGCTTATTGGGGGCAAGTCCGTTGGCTCCATAGCTGCCATCCGCGAGCTTAATGAGTCCGGCGAACTGCATCGGTTGATTACCAATGCTGGTGCGGTCCTTGACGGCAGAAAGAAGAAGAAAGTGCACTGAAGGACAATACTTTCCGATCGGACTTTTCCCATCACTTCCGAAAACGACCTAACGACCGGCATGACCTCCCAGCGATCGTATGATCCAAAACTTTCATGCAAATGTACATACCACATCGGATAATCCCAGGTGGATGGATACTCAAGCGCTATTACATTGCCACAAATCTCCAACTCTTGTCCCTCGTTTATTTCTCGTGGTGTTATAGCCGGATTATTATAGCTCGCTTTGCTTCTTGCTTTCTTTTGCATAATGGACGCCATCAACAGAATTACCCACAACCATAGAGACATTGATGGATTTTTTTTAAGTAATTTTTCTTGTATCTACCGTTGTACGTGTATACGTAGAGGCCAAACAGTACTTAGTAACTGTTCTAGTTTACATGTACATACACAACGGGGGATGCGTTCAGCACGCAGACAATCAATTCAATGATTGAGCTTTTCTTTTTTGGTAAGAGGGAGAAGAGTTTTTGGTATTAGCTCCAGAGTCCAGACTCTGTTAGCATGGGAGTGTTTGACAATTGGGTCCTTCATCAGCGCATGGTGTATCACAGAAGTTCTTCTAGAAAATCTATACTTGGGTCCGCACGAAGTTCGATTCTGTCCTCCGGTTGGACAACGCCTAGGCGCTCAGGTCCCCTGCCATAAATAACAAAGAACGACATTTTTAAACTCAAGGTTGGGGGTTACAATGGGGCAGGCGGTATCTAGAAGCAGTGGCCCCGACTAGTAGACCTGACTTGCTTATCTGAGAGCACGTGCGACCCATGGCGTTGGCTCGCATTATGTGAACTCGGCGTTAGAATCGATACCGTGAACACGCCTCGAGCGCTGATCATGCGTACGGTGACCAAATCGTAGTCGGACGCGAGAAGCCCTGCTTCGAAGTTCGGGAATCAAGGGCTTTTAGAGAGCAACCCTGTTATGGCGCTCCACTGGCAACGGATGATAAATATCTTGGCCACCAAAGATAGTCAGAAGCAAGTGAGATATAAGTGGTATGAACGGCCAACGCGGGCCAAAATGACTTCATTGAAATGCACGAGCTTCATCGTACGTCACGCTGACAATGTGCCTACATATTTTCCATGGACGCGAACATTGGAAATTAGCGGAAGGCGCGTGCACATGACCACCAGTACTTCTCGGCATTCGCGAGGGTACGATGTTGCCGCCAGGAATTATGAAACACCAATCAGTCCGTATGACAACCAATAAGTACTTCGAGTACTCTTGACAGTGGTACTTTGTTTGTTGATAATAAAGCACTGCGACGTAATGTAATTTGTTGCAAGTCAGGATGTTAACCCCTTGGGGTAATCTTGCCAATCAAAGGTCTTTAACTTGGCAGATTCGAATAACGTCGGAGTCAGAGGTTGGCTTCATCGAGAATTATCACACGCGCCTGCTGTATCGAGGGTGATTGGCATACACAATAACGCGCCCGTATCATGCCATAGTGGACGCAATTCCGCTGCCTCGTGTAGATGATAACGTTGATTTGTTAGCATCGGGGACTCTGTAGCCCGCGACAAGTACGTTTCCCAAGTCATCGAAGCCCATCAGCCGCAGGAGACATAAGTCTGATAACACGGATGCGAGGCTTCCATGACCTAGATATAAAAATGTAGTCAAAGTGTGAGAACCAAGTTATCTGCAGACAATCAAAGTCAGTGTATGCATCCTTCGAAGAAAGAATTCGACGTCACAACGGAAAAAAAGTTACACACTCAGGCTGTCTTTGGTGTCGTCATCAGGGTTACCCCGTTGTCGAGAACAGAGTTCCCAAGCTTGTCTGTCAGACTCTGCGTAAATACGGCATCAGTGTGTTGGATTGTGCTACAGAATGCAGAGCACTCTGTAGCACTCTGTAGTAATTACGGGTGACCTGCAGGCGTCACGAGTGTAATCATGATGGTAGGTCAGACACTCGTGGAATGCATGCGCCTCCATCAGAACCTTTCTTGAAAGGTTGCTATGACCTTGCCTATAATATAGCTACGAAGAATTCAAAAGCCTTGAGAAGCCTTATGCAGAACAAAATGACGACAACAACCTGTTGCATGCTTCCGCCGCAAGTCCGGGATATCAACGGCATGTGACGCCGGAACCTGAAAGTAACGCTCAAGCAAGGCCGTCCAACGTATGCCGCATCAAGTGTCCCGGCGGGTGGACGGCAAATACATAGTGAAGCGGATCAATTGCATCCAGGTCAATCTCAACAAGATAGGCTTCAAGTTGCATATAAGTAACTAGTAAAGCCTGTGTGATCAGGATGAACTTGGCGCATTTAATGCTCCTGTGCGTACGTACTGGAAATACCGTTATTCAAAACGTTACGATCCGCATCGGGTACATTGTGCGACCCGAGTAACTGCTGTACACCGGGGGTACTGTAATCAGATACGAGCAATCAAGTAGAAGTTGAGAAAACTCATTTGCGTCGCACCGGTCCATCACAGAAGTCGCCCCCAACGTCATGGACTAGTACGGTTAGGCGGGAGAAGATACTATCTATAGCGAATCAAAGTGTGCATAGACCAACGATAGAAGAGACTCACCGAAGTGTTCACTTGCTTGACCGACACTGCAGATGTTTTCCTCCTAATGTAGCAGGTTATGACATATGCACAATGCCTCAGAATTTTCACAGCGAATGCACTGTGCCTTCTGAAGCGTGGTGGCGCATAGGCTTCTCTTCGGATGGGAACATCGCAACATATGTGCCTTGCCAATCAGTATTTGAAACTCGAGAGTTCGCTGCCTTACTTTATTTGAGTGATAAGACTACTGTCACGAGCCTGGCGAGTGTGGCCTTGGCGCAGCATAAGTTATAGCACGAGATCCGTCCGATTCTATTAAGTATGTCGATATATCACCGGGAACTTGAACGTTCGGGATTGAAGCAATACTAGGCTGTGGCTGTGTAATCATGCGGTTCTTGAATTTGCACCTGGTCACCCGTCTAGTAGCCGCGGCGCTGTGCGGCGGCGACGCCCCTCCGACGAACGTCGAGCTCGCGGGCATAGAACGCAATGATTGTTGAAGATCAACGCAAGGCTCAAGCAAGGTAACAGGACTTTTACACCTTTTGCGTGGCAGTCTTAACGGTGAACAGTAGAAACGTCACGACTCTCATAGTAGATGCGGCCAGACGGTCGTCTGACAGGAGATGGACGCGAGCAAGGGCCGCCCGCTGCTGTGCTTCGACCTTGATATGTGTCACAGCCTAGGCAGCTCTTAGTCAAGAAATATTACGTGTTATATCCTTGCTTCCAAATTGACGACGTCGCGCACAGTCCTGCAACTTTCGGCAACCTGTCAACGAGGGAGTTCGCTTTCAGGCTCCATTCCCTGAGCTCCCTAAAGTGTCTGATGCCAATCTGGCGTGACGACTCTCGTGCTACGGCGTCATGGCAGCCGGGCGGCTACAGCATGGCTCTCATATGCATTGGTTTCTTTCCAGACCACCTTGGAATTCCTTGATCAACACGCTGTTGTGTTGTTGTTTCTTCCCTAGGGAAGCCTTGCGATGAACGCCCGTCCATCTTGGTACTTTTATGACTGCCGTGTACGGTATTCTGGACCCAGTCGATGTGTTTCAGCCCAGCATAGGATTCACTTGCTGCGTCCGATTGGATCCAGGACATCGCTTGAGGATAACGATGAAACATTCTAGGGATCATTCGACGCATCAAGCCGATAACAGTAACTTCATCCGGTTTGCCATAAACCGCCAAATCGAAAACCACTGTTCGAGTCCTCCTTCGCAATATGCAAGGGGCCTAATGATGTAAGACATCCTATGGACTCTCTATCTTGGGCGACAAGTCAGGCCCCCATGAAGCAATTCATTCCCCTGTGGCGATGTGATTCTCCAAATTTCACAGTGTGATCGGGTTCCATGTGTTCGTTCACGGCGACGTCCATGGTCAGGTGTTCTCTCTTTCTTATGACTTGGTTGATGATTCGCGGAGAAGGCCGGGAAGACATTGCGCAAAAGAATCCGTTTGAACCACAGGTCGTATTTGTCTGATCGCAGGCATCCGGCTTGATCCTGATTGACCAACTTTTTCGCATTTGCAATGATTTACATATGCAATCCGTACACCATGGGCATCCTCATTCACGAAGTCGTGCGCCCCGAGGGTCTGTTTTTCGAAATCAAATTTCATATCCTATGTGTGTTATATTAATACTCTAATGATGACAGTGATATCCGGTCTAGAGGACCCCCAGTATTCACCACGCATCTCTGGTCGTACGAATGCTCTGATCAGTGAGGCGTACATACCCCCACCAGTCCGCCATTCCCGCTGGCCGTTTTAGACGCGCCGCCCTCCGCAGATGAAATGACGTAAAAATACAAACTGTACATGTGTGCAACAAACTAGTGGATAAGGAGACAATACGCATACTCGGCCGCCTGCGCGGACAGGTATGGGAGTCATAGTGCACGCAATAGAGAGAATACCCATGGTTGACAGACGGAATGTTCTTTTTCCGGCTGATCGAGACCATGGAACGAGGAATATATGTGACTCCGTGTAGCGAGTCAGAAGGGGTGATAATGCGGGATGGTATGGTACGATTTTACTTTTTGGTTTGGGTGTTGGAGGGACTTATAACAGCTATATTGGAAGTTGCCAGTCCGGAGGCATGTGAGGGAGCGGTATTTCACCGAGGCTAGGAGGTTCTTGGTCTTCCAGAAGCATCAACAAAGCTGACGAGGTGAGGAAGGGTCTATGCTTCTACTCAACAGCATGCATTTCTGTACGGACTCCTTAATTAATTACTTTATTGCATCTTCGAATCCCCAGACAAATCACCCTTTACCATGTGATTTTATTTCTTTGAAACAAGTTGAAGCGGTTATCTCGTCGGTGCGGAAATGAAGGTGTGGTGCAAATTGTAAAGCATAAGCGGCGATCTCCTGCAATATAACTATCCACCTCTTTGGGTTCAAATGGCGGGTTTTCGTAGTAAGATCTCCTCGATTCGAGCAATAACGGGACACAACAATGGCCTCGAGTTCCTGTTGTCATGTGGCAAATTGTCATATCAGGCTTATATCGAGATTTTCCAGTATGAGTGCCTTGATGGCTTCACGGGGGAGTCCAGTCATGTGGTCCCAAGTAATCTCAGGACCCAGTAGGCAAACATTCGCTAGCGAAGATATGCGACGTTTCCTCAAACGGAGAGATGGCGTCGTCCAGGTCAAAGACACAAAACATGCAGCCAAAGCAGAGGGCCAATTATCTAAAGAGCAGCGATGATTGGTGTATCAGAGTAATGGGAAACTTAAACCCAACCGTGAGCTTGTATTTTCCCCGTTATCAAGGCACTGTGCTATTTTGAGCGGGAGATAGAGTGACCCCGCAGGGGGATTAAGAAATTGCCCCGAGTGTAATGGAGGCCAGAGCATCAGGTGTACCATGATTTCACCGAA